AATAATTACACCATTTTTTGAAAGATGGTTTGCCTTTAAAATTCAGGTGTTTTTCATAAATATTTAGTATTTCAGTTATTTTTTCAACGAGGTCTGTATCTGATTCCTGTATGTTATTGATATTTGTAGTAGTTGTTTCGATTCGATTAACATACTGTAGTTTTAGATTTTCTGTTTCTTCAAGTTTCATTGTAATTTCCGCTTGCTCTAGTTTGTCTACTAGTTTTCGAAAATCTAAATCGGGCTCTCGAATTGAGGAAGGATGAGATGCTCTCTTTTTTATTGCTATTTTCCTTAATTAAGGTGTTAAGGTCATCATTAAATTTTCTGTCATTTTTGTGTTTTTATAGTCATGTGTCTTTAATGAATATGCTTTTCGAACTGGAGTTTCGATACGTACTGCTAATTGTTTGATGGTTTCATTTGGTAATCTGCGAATTTCATTACATAAAACTCTTTGGTGTTGTTTATTTCTTTCGGAGTCAAACATTTTTGAAAAATCTTGTGTAAATCTTTTCCAATTTGATTTTATTTCTATAGGTAATAATGAAAACCATTTTTGGGCTGCGCCATCTAAGGTTGTTCGTATCAACGCTGTGCGTCGATGTATCCAATTTTGAAGTAGTGGTGTATTAGTTGGTTCAGGTCCTATATTTAAAATTAAATTTGCTGTTACTGCATTTAAATAATCTTCTACAGAATATTCAGGGTCTCTTCCTGTGAATAACATTAATGGTTTGTTTGATGTTATTGATGATCCACCCATAAGGTATGGATTCATTGTCATTTGTAGTGATTCTGCGGTATTTGGCATTTGTGAAAAGTTTGAAAGTTGATTTTTTGTTATTTCGTGTTGTTGAAGGTAATATGGGAGTGGTATTTCATTTTGCATTTGAGTTGGTTGATACGAGTGTGTGATCATTGGGTTTTGTGGCTGAATTGGTTGAAAAGATTGTGTATTAGTTAGATTTTGCATTTGTATTGGTTGTTGATTTTGTGTATCTGTTGGATTTGGAGAAAAAATTCTATGATATGTATAAGGTTTTTGCACTCCTTGTCCGCAATATTCTTGAGTATACGGTGCACAAATATCTGGTTGTAAATAATCATCATCAGATGATAAGTAATCCGTATGATGAGGTGCTTGCTTTTTATTTTTATTTTGTTGAAAGAATGGGTAATTTTCACTACGATCCTGTGGAGGATGTGAATTAGTTTGAAAATTTACTGAGTTGGTTGTTGTCATTGGGTTATCCCAATATCGAGATCTTACATGATTATTATTAGTTTTTCGTGGGGGATAGTTTGTTTTTGATGAATGTGCGTAATTATAATTGTGTTCTGCAAAAGTGTTTCTTGTGAACGTTCTTCGTGTTTTTGACGGTACTGTCATAGGTCTATATGTTTGATAATCCATTTGTGAATATTTTGGAGCAACCGAAGGTTTAACGGTTGATTGTAAGGTTACTTGTGCTAGTAAAGTGTTTGTATTTTTTGGTGTTGTTAAATTTGGACGTATCGGTGAAATGCTTTGTTGTGTAGTTGTTGTTGTTTGGACGATTTCTTCATTTAAAAAGTGTGATGGTGTTTGGATATTTTGTTGTGTATGATTCCTAGTTCCATTAAGGTTTTCATTGTGTATGACGGTCGAATTTAAACTGTTATTTCGCGTATCAGGTAAAATTGTATTGTAGTTTAATGGTGTTGCATCAATGGTCAGTGGTACTACTCTCACATAATCTCTTTGATAAGATATTGTACTTATTGGTTGACTTGAGGTTGATTGTGGGATATTTATAAATGCATGATGAGACCATTCAGGGTCCCAAACGTAGTCTGACTGTTCTGTGATGGCAGTATCATCGTTTGGATTTTGAGGTCTGAAATTTTTTCTTGCTTGTGAAATTAAGTCTATATTATGTGTGAAATAATCTATTGTAAACCATGCCAAAATTTTTTGTAAGTCATGTTTTGTGTGTTGTGAAACTTCGTCTTTAGTGAAATTTTCTTTGATTATATGAAGAAAAGTTGAAAATAATGTGATTTCTTGTCGTACTTTTGTATGTTTGGATGTCTCAGTTGGTGAGATACTTTTAAATTCTGTTTTTTCTAATATTGAAATATAGCTATATATTATTGCAAAAACTTCGTTAGTGAATATGGAGTTTGCTCCTTGCGAATTATGATATTGTATGCTTTTAATATATTCTAAGAATACTTTTGAAAATTCTAATTCAAGATCGTCTGTTTGAATTACATATTTGCGGTGATTCGGATTTGGTGTGCTGAATTCTATGGTGTAGATTCCGTATTGTTGTGTTAAATTACATATATCTTTCAGATAATGTTCAATAATTTGTCTTTTGATTTTTACATCTGGGAATTCTACTTTGCATGGGCTGATTCCGGGTTCAAACAAATTTGGGAGTAAATTCTTGCAAAAGTCATGCTGCCCTCTATTATCGGGTGCATCTATGAGGAAGGGGTAAGCCTCTTCATCATCTGGACTATCGTCACTTTGAGTGTGGCTGTGGCTCATTTTTTCGTTTAATGACTGTTAATATATAACTATCGATGTGTCTAATTGGTTGATTCCAATTATACAAGTGTACTGGTTTGTGTTTATATTGCTTTTTTATTCTTCTTTTTCCTCTTTTTGATGAATTTGAAGTTGTTTCTGAGTCGAAAAAATATAATTGATCGTGAATGGGACAATTTTTATCAATTGATTCTTTTAATTTATAGAGTTCATCTAAATTGCTGGCTTCTGATTCTGAAAATGCGTTTTTTTTTGAAAATCTTTTTCGTGTGATTTGTCTTTGTTTGTTTATTATTTTTCTTTTTTTTTGTTAGTCGTTTTGTTCTAATATATCCAACTGTTTGTGTATGAGGTGTGATTAAAAGATCGTATTTTTTGTTATCTATTTCACAGTTGTGTAAAACCATTGTTTGTTTGTTTCTTAGATTTTGAATGACATAAGGTTTAGGATGAAGGATACAAAAGTTGTTAGATGATTTCTACTTTCTTAAACTGTTAGTCCTTACGATTTTTTGGTTAACTTAACCTGGGTCTATTTGTTCAGGGTTGGAGAGAAAAGTATATCGATTCCGAAGAATGATTTTTTACTTTCTCGTGGCTAATATAAGCTAAGGTGTTAACTTACTTAATCTTACTTAGGGGTAATGATTGTGTTCAAGGGTTGGAGAATAGTAAAACGATCCACAAGGTTCAGGTATAATTAGAACGCGAGTAGTTCGTTAGATACTATTTTTAACTTACTAAGTCTAAGATTTATCCTGGGTCTGGTAAGTGGAGGGTTCAAGTGAAGGATGAATAACCGAAGTTCTTCACTGTTTATCCTAATTTGAATGGTTAGTTTTATTGAAAAATTTGTATTAGTCTTGGGTTTTTTGGAAGGGTTGGATAGTGAATGGACGTTTGAGGTCGTTAGACACTTGCAAAGTGGGTGGGGGAGAACAAAATTGTTCTTTTTGATCCAAGGATAGGCCTTGATGATCAAGTTTTAAATTTAGTGAAATAGAAAATTAATTAAGATCCAAGGATAATCCTTGATGATCTGATTTTAAAATTAAGTGAATTTAAGTTTAAAATGGTTTAAATTTATTTAAGAAAAAGATTTAATTTTTTAATGATATTAGTGAGCTTATGATTGCTGTTATGTTTAGGTGATGAAGCTGGGACAACAGATGATTTTATGATTACTAACAATTTATTGTCATGCTACTAATTTTTGTTTTGATTTTCAATAAATATTTTCCAAACATGTTTTATATATTACTGCAGAATTTAAGAAAACGACCTGAGATCTTTTCATCAATCGTTATTGTATATTAATAATTTTGTTTAGCGCCTGAAATGATCATGAAGATTGACTTCAAGATTTTATGTTTGCAAATGAAAATCTAAATTCATTGCTAATAAGATTCTAAATATAAAAGTTTGTGTTCGCTTTTGCCGTACTATCATATAACTATATGGTAAGTTTCTACTTTGTCGTATGTCGTCTCTGGTTCGAGGTCTTCTTACGATTCCGGGTAGTTCTGTTATCGTTCGGAATATCGGCTCTGATCTATTGAGTCGTAGAGACATTTCGATTAATTTATCGTCGAATAACATTTTTAAAATGTTTTGTCTAAATTCTAATCTATTTTTGGTTAATTCTAAGCTATTAAGGTCTTATTCGAGACTTATGGTCGCACCAGATGAGTTAGGACCGATGTGGTTAACTCATAGAGTAGTTTCGGATAGCGTACACCGTCTGCTCGTCACGGCCGGATAGATTCGTGCAACTTCTTAGTCTAATACCGATCCTAATCTTACTCTTATACTTTCTAGTCTCAGGGTGTTTAACTAGTCTCTGGTAGGCTCAATAGATCTAGGGTATACTGGTTTGTTGCGGCTGCTGAAGTTCTCTTGGAGAGGCAACTAATTTCTAAGTTAAATTCAAATCTCTCTGATGCTGAAATTACAAGTAATTTCAGCACTTACAAATAAGTGGGTTGTTAGTTAGATGGATCATGGCTGGTTAATATTAAATACTTTACAGTGGTAAAATATCTAATTTATCCAATCATAAAATATAGTTTAGATCAGGTTGCACTCTATTCTGATTGGCTGAAAAATTGAACTCAGAACCAAATTAACATCTTCCCCTCTAAACGTATTTGGGGGGGGGGGGGGGGGGGGGGAGGATGTTAACTTGGTTCCATTTTTTGTACATTATGATGCACTTGCCTGATTAGATAGTTAAGCAACTGGTGTTTTCTATTTTTATTTTGTATTTTCCAGTGTTTTTTTTTTCAAATTTATTTTGGCTTTTGTGTAAAATTGTGATCAGAAAATGTGTGCAACTTTGAACAGCATAAAAAATATATATATGAAAAATGTTGTCTCTGTGAACTCATAACAAATCACCACAAATATCATGAATTGGAGCTCTCTGATGCTTTCATTTTCAGCTTACTTTTCATACGTTCAAAACACCGCTAAAACATAAACTGCATGCTCTTACTATGAGTTAACTCCGTTAATTTGAAAAACGTGCAGCTCACTAGCGTTAAAAATGACAGAAAAGGTAGAAAACAAAAACGAAATTAGAGAATTGTCAATTCAAACCACATTTGGCGAAGCAGAGGACCACCCAGCATGCAAGGAAGAAAAAACAGTCCTATTAAATTCATATTTTATGGATATATTTTCGTCATCCGGCTACAGTCGTCTTAAAAAGGGGAAAAGGGCGTCGACAGAGCCCAATTTATCAGCCAAGTGAGATAATAGTTCAACAGACAAATATATATTTTAAAGAACAAGTTATTGTTTCCCAAAAAGCGGTCATAATCCCAAAAACTTTAAAAAACTTATCAAGAGGCAAGCCAAAATATTGAAAAGGTCTTATTTAATGCACACATTAAAACAAAATACATTACCAATATCAACAATAAAATCATCTACTATCTTTTTGATCTCGCTGAACTACTAGACCCCACTTTTACAACCACCACTTGCAAACCGGATTCTACTATCCAGGCGTTCTATCCCAGCACGACCAGACATCTCATTACTCCAGTGACGACTGTGACCCAGTGGACGCGAGAGGAGGGAGAGGGAGATTGTGTGTCAGTTGTGGTGTGGATTTGAAACCCAAAGGGTATCTGGAAAAACTACAACAGGAGATGGAAACTATTGACAATCTGTCTAAATTTGTGAGTGATTTCAGTTGTTCTGCAAAAAAATCATCAATAGATAGAGGATAGAGTTATTTTATAATATTCAACTGTTTTTTCTCCGTGTTTTGGCAGATTTTAGAGCGCGGTGTGATTGGACCTAAATGAAGGCTTAGAAAATAAAAATGGTTCTTACTGGGCACATTTGTCTTTTAATCTTTCAAAAATTGAAAAAAGGCAAAAAAAAATAAAACCAATTTCAAACAAATTATCTGAAAATGAGTATATTTTGTTTTGTCGCATGTCGTTTGAATAACAAGTGAAAAGGCTTATATATGATGAATCACTTAAGCAAGGCTGATGATTATTTGTGGCACCTGTTTTTGCTGAGTTAGTTTTCATATTTTCACAATTTTTTTGTTGAACTTTTCATTTTTAAGTGCCAAATACGCTGTATGAATCTTCAGCAAATATTTTTCTTTCGTAGTTGCACAGGGTGTCTTAAAAAAGGATCTAAATTGAAACAAGACTGCTCGTATCAGGGCGAAGCCCTAAATGTTCCTAGTGCCTATTATGGATTATGGAGCAGTAATAACATTAAAAACTTAAAAGTAATATAACGAAATGAAATTTTTTTTCTCAAAAATTTGAAATTTTTTTTATAAAAATCATCCCCCACACACCATATAAAGTACAAAAGGGTAGATTTCGCTACTTGTAACAAATCAATTATGGCAAATCAGCTTCTTTCAACCAACTTGGACCGATTTCTAAGAGGGATGAACTCTCCGCTTACGCGTTAATAGCGCGAAATGTATCGCGCGTTGATTGTCCCAAATGGGCCAAAATGGTAATCTTTAAACCCCTATAACTGTACGGAAAATGATCACAGGTGAAATATCTTTTCAAATTTGAGCTCACGGCAGCAATACCTTTCGAATGATATAAAAAAATTCCTTCAAAAATGGCTACTTAAAAAGTCGAAATTTGTCTGAAGAAAAAAAACCCACCCCGAGCACAAATATTTCGTTACTTTCGTATTGAAAGTCAGAAAAATTACGGTTTTATTACCGAAGCATTTTTCTTGAACTTTAGAACACATGCTTAGCAGCGCAATTCACTTATTTTCTAAAAATGATAACGCTGAATCACGTCTAAACAAAACATTACCTTAATCTTGAACACCACAAGAACTCAAACTGCGTTAACTTCTTCAGGTTTTCACTTGTTAAAATGCAGTTTACAATCAAGCAGCAAATCTTTATTGTTTTAATATCTTTATTAAAAGTTTTTTTCATCTGTTCCCCTCACCCCCAAACAGATCTCGAGTGAATAAAATTTACGAAAAGTATCAAGAAAAAAGCACTTTTCAAAATCTGAACACAGCTAAATACGGGAGAAGAAAAAGGGGAAGAAGATGTCTAATCTAAGTTAGGCACAAATTGAATGACGTGCAGCTGAAGTATAAAGCAGACTTTCAAACATATAGTTTATAAAATTAACACAAGACTGCTCGTATCAGGGCGAGCCCTGAAAGTTCCGACTGCCTGCTAACGTTTATGGAGCACTAATAACATAAACAACATAAAAAATTAAATGAAATAAAATAAAATGAAAAACGTTTTTTCTAAAATTTGAAAATTTTTCTATGAAAAGCATACCCCCACACGCCATATAAAGTACAAAGCCATAGATTTCGCTCCTTGTAACAAATCAATTATGCAAATAAGCTTCTTTCAACCAGTTTGGAACGATTTCTAAGACGGAGTAAAAGCTTAAGCATGTTAGAAGACATAGTTCCTCCACACATCTAGTGATCGGGAGAAAAAGTTGAAAAAATTCGTGGATGTATCTACTTATCTCAATTGACCTCAAAACTATTTTGATTAGAACCCTCTTCGCATGCGAGCGAGGCTGGAGGAAAAGACCGGGGAATTCAAATTACACCACCAGTACAGAATCAGAACAGCCATCATCATATTAGTCATTTTCTCTCTTCTTCTTCTGTCTGTTGGAAAGTTGAACACGATTGAATTGCCATTTGCACATTTCGCCTCTTCCTGTTTCGCTCAAGATTTTGTTACTTTTTAACGATGCCCCCTTAGAGTGGTTGGATTGAAAATTTTTGTGGCTAGGCTGATAATTTTTTGAATAGTGGTTTTTGTATCATTATGTAACACAAAGATGTAACACATTGCATCAATTTTTCTGTACGACTAAGGTTTTTGTGTAATGCAGGGGTGCTTTAATTTTTAAGGGTACTATAATGCAAAAAAGCCGATTTTGCGTCATGCTTCAGGTGGATTTTTTTGAAAAAAAAAACATTTCGAATATTTGGCTTTTTTACCATTTCCCTACGACATGCTTTTTCAGTGTGTGTAACTTTTGTCATAAAAACTGCAATGTGGCTGGATTATATAATTAAAAACACATTTTGACCGCATATCCAACTTCCCAAATTAAATTGTTAACTTCTATTTTTATTGTGAAGATACAAAAATTGGCATGTGACGATGAAAAAAAATCAATTATTCCAGTTAAAAGAAATCTGCTGTGTCCTTCACAAATTGTCAAGAGTTTTGATAAAAATTACTTTTGTGAAATATTGCTTGTCAATACCCTCAAAAAGTGTATTTTTATGTTTGATTAATCCGCATAATACGAACAAGTCTAGGCAATTGCTACGCAAGTAGCACAGATTCTTCCGACCACTTTTATTGAAAAAAGTCAAAACTGAAGAAAAGCATAAAGAAATCGTGTGTCTCATATTTCATCTTGTGTCCAAAGTTTCCAAATTTTTTGATAAGGGGATTGAGTTAGCAGAAAAAACGTATGCTGAATGTGAATTAAGCTGAAAAAGTCTGAAATCTGAAATTGAAAATGAAAAGATTCAGACCAGTTTTTCTCAAAACAGAGACATATTTTTGATTTTTGTTATTATTGAAATCACGACTGAAAGGGCTTTTATGTTATACCATATTTGGCCGCTACTATTTGTGTTTGGAACTATCAAAATCGGCTAAAAAACAGCAGAAGCAACGACCGGCCGTTACTTCCCATCGCTACGATGTGGTCTAAACGCAATGGACAACCGGGAACCTCCTTCCTAGCTACGTAGGAACCCTGACAAGTCCCTTTCTAGTATCTTTTTAGAAAATCATATCCAATAGTTGCTAAGACTTTTTTTAAAGATGAGACAATACCCAGTCTAAGAATATAATGAAAAAAATGCATATAGTTCTAAAACAGGGAGGTGAAGGCGGTAAAAGAGAGGTTTCCCTTAAAGAGTTGAACAACTCGTATGAGTTAGGACCGAGTTGGTTAACTCATAGAGTAATTTCGGATAGGGTACACCGTCTGCTCGTCACGCTATCTTATTTTCGGCCGGATAGATTCGTGCAACTTCTTAGTCTAATACCGATCCTAATCTTACTCTTATACTATCTAGTCTCAGGTTGTTTAACTAGTCTCTGCTAGGCTCAATAGATCTAGGGTATACTGGTTTATTGCGGCTGCTGAAGTGCTCGGGAGAGTCCAACTAATTTCTAAGTTAAATTCAAATCTCTCTGGTGCTGAAATTACAAGTAACTTCAGCACTTACAAATAAGTGGGTTGTTAGTTAGATGGATCATGATTGGTTAATATTAAATACTTTACATTGGTAAAATATCTAATTTATCCAATCATAAAATGTAGTTTAGATCAGGTTCCACCCATCCGGGTTTTACAGAGTTTTTTAGAATAGTTCTTCTGCGATTCGAAGGATGGATGATGGACGTTGGTTTTTGGCGAACATCATTTTCTTCCGTTTCCTCTTTGTTAAAGAAGTTCCAGGAAGCTGGAGTTAGAGACATAAGACGTTGTGTCTTCTAGTGACAACGACTAAGTCTTTGCAACAAACTCAAATCTGATTTCAGAATGGTTGGCTATGTCAGGTTTTTCTGTTCTGCGTGGAGAACTTCTTTTGTGTCTGATCTAATTTGGGAATGGCGTGGAGATTGTGCGTGGAGGGGATGCCTGGTTACTCGGATCTGTACGTATACTTGAACATCGAGGTGGTCATTGGTCTAGTTCAATGAAGTCCTTTTCTGCGAAGTCAAGTCGTACTCTAAATCCTTTGAGTTGTGATTGTGAGTGGCATATCGATTGTGGTTGGCCATTCTCTCTCGAGTGTAGTGGGGTCGTTTTGTCTTTAGATGTTCATCCTTGGTGTTATATTCTGATCTATGTATTGCATAATGTAATTTACATTTTATAAAACATTTATTAGTTTAATATTTTTTAATTATGATTTTAGTTAGTTGTTTTCACAAAAGCTTTTTGTTTTAGTTCGGTTATTTTGAAGAGTTACTCACCCTTGAGTAGCTCTTATTAAAAATAGAGGTGTGGTCACAAAGCGTGGATGTAGCGCGGTGGGTTAGGCCGGCTATAGAGCATGCTCAGGACGTCCTTCCTGGTGGGTTAGGCCAGGAGTGGGAGTATGATTGCATGCGGTTTTTGTGAGGGGTCCTGTTATGTGACAACGTTTTATGTTGGGTTTGTTGTGGTTTTTCTTATGTCTTGTTGGTTATGTCATTTTTCCAAAAAGCAAATTGTTCGTGGTATGGGTTTGTCTTTCGACTTTTTTGTGTTTTATTATTTCTTTCTTAGACTTTATAATAGTCTTCAAAAGAATAAATTATCCAGTTTTAAACTGGGTTAATCCGGTTTGGGTACCGTTGGTTTCCTTTTCTTAGTCATGCTGTTATTCTATGATTTGTGGTATTTAGTAAGCTGCGTTGGTTAGTTTTGTTTAGTATATGATTCCTTTCCAACCGGGTTAAAGGAAGGTTTGAAACATGTTATTATATGTTAGAGTTGTTGAGTGTGAGAACTTGAAACTGAAATTCATTATTTTAAACAATTCTTCGTGGGCGAGCTGTGCGAGTGTGGATAGAATTTCTGTGCGAATGAATGAGAATATCAAAAGGTTAGTACTGCATTTGCATTTTATTAATTTACTGCATAGAATTTGGAAATTTACTGCTAGTTATGGGGGAATTTTAAGTTACAAATTTTCATCATAATTAGATTTACTGCTTGTGGGGAAAATTTTAGAAATGAATTTATTGCATTGGTATTAAATTTATAAATCTATAAGTGTAAGAGATTAATAGAATTTTTGAAATCTGTTTGATGAAATTTGCGATTTTTATTTGTCTTTTGTGGTTTTTGTAGGTGATCGTCGGATGAAGGCTAAAAATCTAAAGAAAACATGAATAAAGTATGGTGAGTTTTTTAATATTTTAATTAGTTAGTAATATTTATTTAATTCATACTTACCTGTTAGTCGTCGGGGAAAAAACCGTGGGGGAAGATGTCGTGAATTTGTTCTGAAGTTGTTAGTAGTTTAGCTAAGATGCGGATGATATTTTTAGTCTGAAGCAGTGGCCAAAGCAATTGAAGTGCCTTAATAGTGGTTAGTTCTTCAGTGCCAACTGCAAACTCATAAGGTGTGTTTTGGATTAGATTATATAATTTGTGATTGAATTTAGTGTTGTGGATGAATTCTAAAATTGGGATTTCTATAGGTTGTACAAACTCGTGCGGGATAAGGAAGGGTCGGGATTCTTCGGCGTTGAAGGTCTTGGTGATGGGACAGAAGATGTACATTTGGGTTATGGGATCATAATTGCGAAGAATACCATGAAGGTTAGTATCTTTAATACAATATGTGAAATTTAGGAAAAATGGTGAAGTGTATTTGGAATTAATGAATTGAAAACGATGGTGTGGTTGTCTAGAGGGTGTGTGTAGGTCAAAGTGATTTTGGATGAAGCGATAATAACTATATGTGTGGGTTTGTTTAGTGCGCAACATAATATCGTGTGAGCAGTGCAAATCTCTTTCGTGTGGTGCAAGGAAATGAAAGGTTAGTGAAAATATTTGGAAGCGTTCTTTAAAACTTTCGTATGCTTGTGTGTCTGTTAGTGCTTCTGAAATAATGTGATCAAACTTTCGGTCGAAGATGTTTAGTGTAAATATATATGGTGTCTTGATGAAAAATTTCTCGGTAATTTGTGGATTAGCGAAGCGATCGTCGTCTAAGAATTGATCTTGGTTAGCTCTGATGATGTTGTGATCATAGTATTCGAGTGTATATTCGTTAGCTCTAGGTGCAGTGTGTGTTTTTAGTGATTTTTTATATCCAACGTAAGTAAATTGTCTAGCGGTTAGTGGTGTAGTGAGTCGATATAGCATGTCCGTATTTCGCTCTATATCGATGTGAGTGTTAGATAAAGGTAAGCAAAGAGGATTAGTAAAATGATAATATGAGGTCCAAGAGAGAGTGGGCATTAAAACGTATTCATCTACAAAGTTGCGTGTTTCGTTAGTGTCGTGGGGGGTGTTTAAGGTGTATTGTGGGAATGAGGGTAAGGTGATGGCTAAAAATTCTTTTGTGTTAGTATGCTTGGGGTGGTTGATGTATTCACGGGCTGTTCCTGGTTTTGCTGGGAAAGGATGGTTGGGGAACTTTCTTTTAAAAGTGCGGTAAGCTCTATTAGTGTTGAGTGAAGATTCAGTTGATGTGGATGATGGTGCTAATGATTCAGTATAATTTGAAGAGGGTGTAGGGGTAGGGGGGTTGGATGAATTTATTGTGGAGGAGATTTGGTTTATGGTTGGGGTATTAAGGTGGTAGGGTTGTTGTTGAAGGGTAATAAAATTATCTAGCTCTGGGGAGATTCGGGGGGTGTCTGGAGAATGAGATGATTGGTCAGAATGGTATGAGGAGTAGGTTGGGGTAACTTGGGAAGCATAAGAGGGTGTGGGAGTGATTGGGTCAGGGTTATTGGATAATATGGGTTGAAAAGGGGGTTGAGAAAAATTAGAAGAGTTATGAAAATTATTGGATGGGGATGGTTCTGAGTCGGCAAATTCATCGGGGGTTTCAATATTCGGGTTATTGAGTTGTGAGATGGAATATAAAACTGAGATGTGTGAATTAGTGTCGGAATTCATGCCTGATGTTAC